TGCGCATCACATACGAGTCCTAATTACCTATAGCAATCTAGGGCAGGACTGGCACCCAAAATGGATCCAAAGTGAGCGTATGGTGCGATGTGAACATACACATGAAAGACAGGCCCTAGCCCAGGCGAGTACTAACACCAGTGTAGCACACGATGAGCAGATAACGTAAATAGAATCATACAACGGTAAATCGATAATTCACATTACCATAATACTATTCATGGCCATAAATATAATTAAGGCATCAATAATAATACACATACATGTACATCCTGTAGGACGTAGCATCATTGCTATCAACGCACTAAATCTTCTAAACGTTAAGCTAATCTAGGCGTATCGTAGCAAATTCTTTATGAAATATATAAATGGAAACTAACAAATATATATGCGCTACATAAAAGGAAAGACTCACTCACAATTACTTGCGATGTCACATCCGTTCAAGCTAGGAAGCCGGAGTCTTTGATAGTAATTGCACCTAAGTATAATATTGGGATTCATTAGTAAAACTTAACTAAAACGATTAAATTTGGCTAAACAGAGTGCAGATTTGGAATCAGAGCGTCGAGATATGCTAAGAAGGGTCTTGTGTAAATTTTGTAAAACGTCAACGAGAAACTAAACGGTCAACTCTAAAAAGTCAACTGAGACGCTCCGGTGGTCAACTATGTTAAAACTTTGGAATCTCACTAAATGGATGCCAAAAACGGACTTCGAACGTCAAAATTAGCCTAAGAGGATTTCGAGAAAATTTCAAAAAAGTCAACTAACGTTCAATATTTAACTTTAACAGAATATTCTCTCCTCAGATGGAATATGTTGTTGCAACTGCTGGATTTGGAAATGAGATGGCCGAGATAAATCCCGGCGCCGACTAACTAAAAACTTCACTAAACCTAGCCATTTAATATACCAAAACGAAGATCTGGGAGCAAGGATTCGAATTACTATTGGTTTCTTAGGTCGTGGCCGGATTTCGTCGAAAAAAGGCTTGAAAGTTGGCGGACTCCTTGCCGAAAAACTAGGGAAAATCCTTCCCAGGGTGATTTCTGCATTAAATTGTCCCCCAACCTTAATATTTAGGTTAAAGGTAGTATCCAGATTCCAAAATAAGAAGAAACTAAAACGTTTCGAGGCTCACCAAGAACAGAGAACTGTGAAATCTCACCGGAGGGCTGATAAGTTTCTATGTGTTTATGTGCAGTGGGTCAACGGTAAAGGAGATAAAAACATAAGAGGGAGAGAGGGTGAAACATGGTGGTGTGGCCTGAGGACTCGTCGAAGTGGTCATCATCGTATGTGGTTGGCGATGGTGGTTTGGTGCACTGTGCACAGTTTGCAAAGAGAGTTTGAGAGACAATTGGGGAAGTATCAAGTTGGTGTTGACTTGATGCGAGGTATGCAGCAAGTGGATGGCTTGGTGGTTCACGTGAAACACGTATGGTGATGGCAAGTTGGGTGCCTTGCCGTGGAGGTGGTGGCTGCATGGTGTAACTCACTGGCATGAGCAAACAGTGATGGTGGTTTTGTTTTGCTGGGAAGAAGAGTGTCTGAGAAGGGGAGAGGGCAGAGAGAGTTAGAGGGAGAGAAGTGAGGTGGCAACCAATGAGAGGTAGAGATCATTTGGAAAGGAACACGGGAGTGAGGGAAAAGAGTGGGGTGTAGGTCCCACTCGGCTCACACTACAATCCCATAAAAGAAAAAACAGAAAGAAAATCTCCCGTAAGCGTGAAATTACCAAATCGCCCTTCACATTCGTAGTTTTGTAAAATTTTCATCATAACTCCTAATTTGATTCCGTTTGCGCCTACTCATTCGTACCATCGAGTACATCGAATATGGTAAAATAATAGCCCATACACATCACGAAATGATGGTCAACGAAAGTCAATAATCTCGCCTATAGGGGCATTTTCGTCAATTCACTCTTTTAAAATTAATAAAATCGTAAAATTAGGGACAGATTGTTACACTAACTATAAACTCCAATTCAACATGTAATTAAATTATTTCCCCTTTTTTATTTTCCATGCCCAATTTCAATTTATTTGGACCTAAATCCCTAAAACAAAATTGCAGACTCAAGTGATACAAAATTGCGGAAGCATCTTTATTAAGTCTCACATGATCAGTTAGTCAAAATAGCCAACCAAATGATAAACACAAATTGTGCTTCAGTTGTGTCAATCATCCTCAGTTGTGTGGCTCTGATACCACATGTAACACATTAATTTGAAATCATAAAAGCAACAAGAAGACATTAAAATCACGAATGCAATAGCCAAATCGACATGAAAATGAAATAAACTTATCTGTAGAAGTGGAAAACATGATGCTAGTGTTTCAGGAGAGTCTTCTCCACTCAAGCAGTCATAAGTCCTTTTGCTAGTGAATAGGGTTTAGCACAAAACAAGGATGATTACAATGAGTGTAGGGACCTCCTAATATACTGATAATTATCTCTATAATCCGGCTTATTAATTGATTACATGGGATATTCCATATCAATTAGGATATCATAATAGTCCTAAATGGTAATGAATTTGTTGTCCATTAATTAAGGTTTTCATAATTAATTGCACTAAATAAGGACTCCTAAACCTAACCAAATAAGGTTTCATAATTTCCTCAACTATTAACTTGGATTGACCAAGTTACTTGTATGTCAAGAAACGGCGAGCACATGTTCTTTGACACTCACAACTTACACATGTTCTTTGTCACTCACAACTTACACTCAACAATTTGTAGAGGAGTTGATGAAAGAAAAAACATACCTGTAAAGAATGAAGATCAAAAAAGCTATTGATTACTCCAAAAAAGTAAATAAACCCAATTAGATACTAAAAAGAATGAAGATCAGAAAGATCGATTACCCAAAAGCAACCCCAATTAGATACTAAAAAGAGGGAAATCAAAACCAAAGCATAAATCCAGTAAGCGTTTAGTTCAAACTTCAATGCATCATATAACGGAAGCAGAAAAATCACTAAAATGCATACATATATTTGACTAATGAAGAAAGAAATGAAATAATCAACAATCATGCATGAAAACAGAAGGAAATGAATTTAGTGAATGGTGGACAAACTCTGGAAGGAATTCAGAGAAAATGGAGAGTCTTTGTTGGCCTGTCTCTTTGTTTTTCTCCTTGATTTTTGCACGACTACAAAAAATCAAGCCGAAATTAATAACCTAGTGAAATTTAAACACAATGAAATACATACCCAGTGAAAATTTCCATTTCTTCTTCTCTAAATCTAAAACCACAAATAGTTTTTTTTGTTCTTATCGACACAAAGGTCTGGGTCTATAATTCATCCAATACCTGTTCACAGTAATAAAATGTGTTAAAAAACCAAAAATGGATAAAAAAGCAAAGAAGAAACAATCAAGAAATTAAGGCGAGGGAAGTGAAAACAATGACACTGTAAAATTATAAAACCATCTGAACTGGTGGTGGCGGTGGCGATTGCGAACCAGCGGCGGTGGCTGAATCAGAGCAAGAGAAAAGACATAATGAGTGCTCAGATTGGGAGAGGAGCTTGGGCGAAGAAAATAGATCAGAATTTTGTAACCGAACAAATGGAGCAGAGAAGTTATGAAGTTATGATGAAAGGGTGTGGGAGTTTGAAAACTGAACGGGAACTACTATGCAGTTTGAAAACTCAAACTGAACGGGAAATGCCAGACAGTTTGAAAACTAAATGCTGAACGTGGTGATTCTTTCTCCCACGTTATTATTTCTTTTTCTTTTTTTCCATTTTTTAATTCTGTTTTGTTTCTAATTTTTTTGACAAAAGTATCCCTGCTATTTTGATTGCATTATTTTCAATCAATAGTAGATTTTTTTTGTTTCAAGGGTGTTTTTGTCTAAATTTTTTTGGTGAATCCTTTAGACACCAAAATTAATTGCTGATTTTCTAATATTAACTAGCCTCTCTGCACGCACTAACGTGCGTGCGAGAGGCATTTTTGCATCACGGGCGTTACGCGCCCCTAAATGTGTATTGTGTTAGTTTTGTTCCATTGTGGTTGTCAATGTATATGCTTTAGAAAGTATGATACCAAGTTTGGAGGTGAGGTATGAAATCTAGAAGATGACTGCACCTAATTGGAAGCAATAAATTGAAGTTGTTGACGTGGATACTCTCTCACACACAGCAATGCCTATTACGGTGTTCTCAAGCATGTGCGAAAGACACTTTTTAAATCACGGCACGCTACACGCAACTTACACATTTTAGATGTATTTATATGCGAGGATTGGTTCAAAGTATAGAAACATAAAATAAAGGCGATTATCATCTCTAATAATACAGGCGGAATCTAAAGTATTTTGTCTAGAATATGTAAAAAAAAAAAAAAGTAATAAATAACAGAGAAGATCCTTATAACTTAGTTGCAACTAAAAGTTAAATAAAAAGTATAAAAACAATCCGAGAAATTTAATTGACCTTGATGCACATGACACCAAAAAATATAATGAACTCATATCATTTCGTCCTGTTGAAAATTTAATGCGTTTGGTTAAAATCAAATATTAACATTATTTGTAATTGAAGTGCATTAAAAGTTGAAAAAGGGAATTAAACATTAAAAGAAAGAATGTAACCTTATGTTGAATTCGAGGGAAGCAAAATATCTTTGTACACAACATTTCTTGTGAAGACTCCTTCGTTACCGTGTAACTCTCCTTTCTTTACCAAGACTTTTGTTGTAGACGCTGAAACTCCTCTTGATAAAGCCACGTACAATTGTCCATGACTGAATACGTGATCTGGTAGATAAATACCCACATTTGGTATTGTCTGCCCTTGTGATTTATTTATAGTTAGTGCAAAACTCAATTTCACTGGAAACTGTTTTCTCATCATTTCGAATGGGAGTCCTGCGCTTTCTGTGGTCTTTAAAGAGATTCTTGGTAAAAACACTCTAGTTCCAGCAAATTGTCCAGATAAGATTTCGGCATCAATTAGATTATTGTAAGCTCCATGTCAAGCCAGTCTTGTACCATTGCACAACCCCATCTTCAGATCGATATTTCTCAAAAGCATTATCGGGGCACCTTTTTTCAAAGTTAACTGATGAGGGGGCATTCCACCAGGTGAGATTGAATTCACGAATTCTTGTTGATACAAATTTCTCACATCGTCCTCAACTGAATCGAAAGAGTATAAGATATGTTCAATCCCCGAAAATTTATCGATGATCATTTTATTGATTTTGTCAGCATCCTCATATTTTGGTGTTATAATTGCTCTTTCCACCAAGTATCTTGCATCACATACATGACATTCCAAATCGGGGAAAACTTCATTAACCAATTGGACAATAGATTCTTCACCATTCCATGGAATAACCATAGATGATGGTAATTGCATCATGTCGTCTATCATAGTTTCTTGTTCCCCATTACCAACATGAAGTAAGAACTCTGAAAAGTCTTGATCATTGATGGATCTCATGTTATGCCTAAGACGAATGATTTTCACGTGTTCCCAAAATGAAGCATTAATCATACTTGCTTGCATCAATTCAGATCTTGTACCTTTTGGAACAACTGGAAGAACTTGTCGAAAATCTCCTCCAAAGATTATGACCTTTCCTCCATATGGTAGGTCAACGCCCATTATATCTTTCAACGTTCGATCGAGAGCCTCAAATGCAAACCTGTGTGCCATTGGTGCTTCTGAAGGGAAAATATGAGATTCATGTGGGATTTCTAGTGACTAGCATGCATATACAATTCAAAATTTATATACGAAAGCAACGGAAGCATGTCATACATTTTATCAAAGCTATAGTCATGCAAATCCCCTTCAAGATGCATAGGTTTATATATGATGCATCAAAAACAATTTATTGAAGAACAAAGTTTAGGAGTAGTTTTATACCTCTTGATCTAGATCTTAGACCAAGGATTGACCACCTCCAAGCTCTTTGCTCCTTGAACTCCTTGAGCCTAGCCTCCCTCCTTGCCTCCTCCACTTTGTTGAGAATGAGTGCTCCTAGGTCCTCTTCAAGTTTCCAAAATTGAAAACCTCTAAAGATCCTCACCCACTAGTGTAGTGAGAAGGATGAAGGAATAACCAAAGGGGTGATGAAATGATTAGCTAAAACTCCCCCATGGTGGCCGGGCCTTTGTTGTTAGAGAGAGTTTGATATTCTCTTCTCTTTTGTGTTTTGAATAATCTAAAACACACTAACTCTTCTTTCATTATTATGTTCCTTTTATTACATAAAGAAACAAGTCAACAATTGACCTTCTCTCCTCTCTTTGGCCGGCCATGTGTGTTTGGTTTGGGCTTTGGGCTTTTAATTATTTCAAGTCATCCAATGCTTGAATAAAAGCCCAATGGGTTTTGGCCCAATGGGCCTAATTAAACCCGAACGTTTCTTTAAGCCCAAAACGATCTTTATCGCTTTTATGATTTCTTTAGACTTTCTAAATTAATCAAAACACTTAATTAATCCAATTAATTATTTCCATCATCCATTAGTTACTCACTACAAGAGTGTATTGGTGAACAATCTTTTAGGTTCTAATTAGCAAGGCAGTGAGGTGATTGGCACCAATCCAATTGATTATATTTAATCCATCCACTTAGTGATTTAAAACTTACTTTTAATTCACCTTCTTCTTTGATGACTACATTTAATCATCTTGAAGAACTCACAAGCCATGAGTGACATCTAAACATATATCATGGCTACCCAAGCTAATGTAGAAGTTTATTCGGAGAACCTATTCAGTTGGAATTACAATGTAATTCGATCCTTCTCTAAAACAATACTCTCAATCACATCACTAGGGTATGGAATTTATAATGTCAAACCCCTAATGTGATTATTCCTTCTTATACGATTCATTTGAGACGTATAGGAACGCTTTCCTTTATTACGCTCGATACTTCGGCCGAAGATTCCCGAATCATATCTTAGAGTATTCATCCTTTCTTATCGAGGATTAGAGATTCCTTGTTGCGCATTCACTTGCCTTCATGGCTAAGTGGCTTAACCCCAACGATGCCTTGGACACTCGCGTATGGAATGACTTTAACATAATCAAAGATTAAGTACTTAACCACAAGACAACGACGATGCCTCAGGTCAAAGGATTACTTACATTATTCCAACCATTAGAGTTACTTGCTTGACATGTGAGTAGACCTCCATGCAAGTACTCTCGTTCGATTGTGTTCAGTGAACTCATTCCCTTAATGAGCACCTACATGCTTGTCTTAGTGTCGCTACACGAATGGGATGAGACTTTCCATCCTTCCAATTGAAGCGGACATAGTATGTACCAGTCTATGGATTGTCAGTATCCCTCCGACAATCCTTATGACCAGGAACCTTTTTGGACATGATGGTTATGAGAAGAAGGTCTCTGTAATCTAACATCATTAGGTTACTTCTTCCATCGATCCATTGTCCATGGATTCACTATTTAGGACATATTTTGTTCTTTGAGATAGTCCTAATTAGTATCTTTGCCTTCCGATGTATAAGAGTCATATATACATCAATTCATTGTCCTGAAAGGTTTCTTCCAAAGATTGACTTTCAGGGCATATTTCCAACAATCTCCCACTTGCACTAAAGTCAATCACTAGTGTATCTTATACATGCTAGTTGAGTGAGCTTATGCTCGTAGGTTAACTTGGTTATGTATTTAATCACCTTTTTTTTTAATTTAAAAAAAAAAGGATTTACTTATCAAATGTTTCTAAAACATTTTGATGATGTCTCTTTCTTGTGTTCGAATACTTTGATGAGACCTTGATTCCATGGCTTGAGCTATCGCCCCATTACGTCGTAGTATCCTAATAACGACCTTATGGTTTGGATTCAATCATTGGTTCTAAAAGAACCCCTTCCATTCAAAACACCTTTTGAAGCAGTTTCTAAAACAATATATCGACATATATTTCGTTTGTATTCTTTATACAAACTTTGCTCCAATCCTTGAGACCATTGTAGTACAATACTATCAATATATTCATACGATTAGTACTTCATTCATTATGAAGTTCCATTTGTTTAAAATGGATTATTTTCACTTTGGTTCATAACCTAAGTGAATGCACGCTTCTAGAGTCCCACTCTGATGTTCCTTTCTTAAAGGTAATAATACTCTTTCAGTTGCTATGGTTCTGATCTTGGGATATAGTAATATCTTAAAGTGACAACCCATGTGGTTTTTCACCTTTTGATATTTACTCACAAGTCCATACATGTGTCCCTTTTGTGATTTTATGACACATTTATTATAAGGGTTATGAAAGTGTTTTTCTATCATATAGTAAAATGCTTTCTTAAATCTTCAACATTTGAGATTTAATTTCCCCATATAACTTCCTTGAGATAGCCTTTGTTATATCAATAAGTCCAATTTCAAGTCTATACTTAAAATTAACCGTGTCATGTCTTGTCATTTTTCAAGTAACATCTAGGTTTGATCAAGTCTATCAAATAGACTTTATTCATATCTTGTTGCTCAAATTATGACATCACTCCCATTGGGCTTGTTGTAACTTAGCATTCATTCAAAACTTAACACTTAAATTTTCTTGATTTGAATGCATATTGCTCCCACTAACTTGTTTTGGATCTATTGACAATCATTGAGATCCATTAGCTTATTAATGATGTCTCAACAATTTTGAGACTATCAACAATGCTAGCTAACACAAGTTATTTAAATGAATCATTTAAATGGTGTCATACACCATTCTTCAAGTTTTAGTCATACTAAGACTTTAATGTAGTCATATAAGAATTGTCCAAGTCTTTAGTGAAAGCAAGGCTTCTACTAAGGATATAGAAACTCAACCATTCCTTCTAGGTGGTTGATATAATTCTTTATCAAAAAACTACATAGAGCGTTATAGTTACATAAGGTGACGAATTCGGATTGTCTTGTTGTTAAACTATATGTTGTGACTCATTTTGAAACTATTCCCTTTTGTTTCATCAACTTGTCCATATGCTTTGTTATTTAGCTTGTTCTCATAAAAGAGAATGATGGACAACTCCCAACATATAACCATTTTATGCTAGGTTGACGAAACCTACATTCAAAGACTATTTTTTAGAATGTTACACAACATAGAATATTAATGTTTTGTAGAGCTTGAGTCTTTTAACAATTAAAATTATAAACTCTCAATAATAGTCAAGTACTATTATTATTTAGACAACTATAAACCAATCATATTCAAGTTTATATCCAATTTCTCACCTCCCACTATTTCTCATGACTTTAATGAGAAATCATTTCATACATTCAAAAATTGTATAAACGTAGAGTATACGGGTTGAGGACATTGTGTAGTAGCTTTAAAACCTTTCAAGCTCATTTGTTTCACTCTTCACTAAGTTGATGTCTTGTTATTAAGTGACTAAAACCTTTAAACATTTTATTGATTTAGACACTTAAATTTTTGGTTTAAACACACTTGACATTTTAAAACAATTTTAAGAATGTCCAATTAATTGTTCAAAACTACTAATTGAATCAAGAGTGATCTTGATTATTGTGGTTTAAGTGATAACCATATAAGAAACGTTTTTCTTATTTCTAATATCATTATAATCATGTATCTCATCTAGGATACAACAAGACAATCTTCAATTCATAACATTACTTTAAGGAAATATTTTATTTATTAGAAGGCATTCATCACATTACATTAATATGATAACACAAACATTCACAATGTTTAACTTAAAAGGAATTATCTCTAAACATTTAGAGACTTATTTAAGTACCTTCAAACACTTAGGCATTAATAGTGGTCTTCCATCATATGAAGCCACATAATAAGTTCTTAACACAATAAGAAAGTTTAAAGACAATCTTTAAATGCCTAAACAAACTTCCCAAGTAGTAAGCAAAAAACATGGTGACCGAACCCTTCTCCACTCTTTTATTTGCTTGTTCTTCTTCTACTTAGCTCCTCCACCTACATACAATTATATAAGTGATTAGCACTTTATATCAAATATAAATATTTAGAAGATCTAACAATTAGAATTGAAGATAAGAACATAAACCATACCTTGTGGCTTGTCCTTAAGAGTTGCAAGGTATAACCTGCAATTCCTCTTCCAATGCCCCTCCTTTCCACAGTGGTGGCAAGCCCCCTTGGGCTCCATTGCCTTCTTTTTCTTCACTCCCCCTTTCGGCTTAAGAGTGGGTGACTTCTTCTCCTTCCCTTTGCCTTTGCCTTGCGGCTTAGACTTGGAAGAGGATGGCTTGTTGTAGGCTACTGCAGAAGTCCCTACAACGTTCTCTTTCATCATAGTTTTCTCAGCAGTTACTAACATGTTTAGTAACTCAGAGAGAGTATGATCCATCTTATTCATGTTGTAGTTCATTACGAACTGCGAAAATGAATCAGGAAGAGAAGCCAATATAAAGTCCTGGGCCAATTCCCCGTCAAGTGGAGTACCTAGGTTCTCCAGTTGTTCTATGAATCCTATCATCTTCAGTACATGTTGATGCACTGGAGCCCCTTTGACCATCTTGGTCTTCACAAGTTCACAAACAGTGTTAAAGCGACGGTTGCGCGTCCCTTCACCATATAACTCCGTAAGATGGAGTATTATGGAAAATGCACTGTCCATGCCCTCGTGCTGTCTCTGTAGCTCCTCATTCATGGAAGCCAACAGATAG